AGCCTGTGCAAGATTCTATCTTTCTCCATAACCACCAGCAGCCTTCTTGCACACTCAGTCATTAGCTAATATCCAAAAGCAGATACTGACTCTGTAACAGGGTCTGTACTGGATTATGATGTGGCTCATTCCTTTTACCTTTACCCCCCAGAAGTTTCTACACCAAATGTAACCTTGTGTCGAATATAAATTTATCTAATAATGTGGAAAAATAAGAAAGTGACCATCAGTCTAAATAGAAGGAAAGATGTTTACTGTGATGTCTTATACTTCCTGGTCTTTATTCTTCTGCTTTATTGTGATGACATTAATATACACCTTTATTTTATTCTTTACATAGTTTGTATAGGTAGATTACTTATTTGCTAATTCCATGATGACAGCATTGTAACGGGGTTAAAAATCCCTTTCAATAAGGGTTTAAAGTGATAGTATTTTCATGATCATCACAAAAATAAAAATGTAATCAAACAATATATCAATACATTATTCTGATAATATAACCATCCGAATTTGAAAATAAATATGACTTGTTTATTTGGTAGGAGCTAATGCAAATATATGCCTTTCATTTAATTTCTTTTAAAATAGTGCTATATGATGAGTTCTCAATAATGCTTGACATTTCAAATATTTACATGGTATAATGAAAATAAAAGAATACTTCCATCACCATGGTAAGATAAAGAAGACTTCAGTCAAGAGAGTAAATTAGTTTAGAGAAATATTTAAAGATAATGGCAATTCCTATTAACTTTAATTGAGAAGAACTGGAATTTGACATTAGAGCTTCCTGAATTCAATGGTATTAACAATCATCTGGTCCTTACACTAGCAAAACACTAGGGGTCATTCAAGTCATATATGTACAGACATTTTTCTCTTTACAACTTATGGACTAAATTTTTCAGACTCCATTCAAAGGATAGGTGGATAATAACAAAGGAGAGTCTAATAATGCTCGACAAGAAATGTACTCATTACATTACTCATGTAACTATAACCCCATCTACACAGCATCTTTGCAATAAAATAAAATTTTAAAAGACACCAATGGCTCCCACTTCAAATTCTACCTAACTGAGGGTTGAGAATATGTGGTTTGAAGGCCATCCTGGACTGAAAAGTTCACAAGACCCCTTTTAAGCTGATAGAGCTGGACACAGCGGTGTGTACATTTTATCCTAAGCTATGCAAGGGTGTGAGGTTTGGAGGATTACATTGACAATTGGGTTATTTTAAACTCATATTCACCTTTTGCTGCCACCTTACTGGGACTCCAAGATGTGGTGTTTAGCTGCTTCTTTCCTTGAAAGTAGAGACAGGTCTTCAACCACTGAATAGGATGCATAGCCCTTCTTGCTGGCTAATCATGGAGCACAGGAGTGAGCTACAGAGCAAAATACTATCTTTAAACTGGATTCAGATGCAGAGAAGACTGTTAAGAAATGTCTACTTGGGAGATAAGAGATTTCAAACTCAGAAGCTATTAAGAAAAAACAGGCAGATACAATTCTACATGCCCTGACATTCAAGGATCTACTCCATCCACACAGATTTTGGAGTAATGTTGTGTGATTTGTGACTAGACATCACTTTTATATTAAGGAAACACTCCCAATTTCATCAGAAAGAACATCCATTTCAGCCTTGGAAGGGAACTGTTTCTGTGTGAATTAATCTGTTCTCAAACAGTAAGGGATGGGCTGTGTGTGATGACAGAGACTACAGGACAGTGTGCAGAACCTGTGGTCCAATCATGCTCCTTAACTCGCCAACATTGGTCTCCAGGGATGGTAAAGAGTTTCCTCAACAAGTAGTTTTCCAAGGCACAGGATGTGCAGCAGCCAGACAGTGTCGTGTCCCCAAACAATAGCACTTTGCAACACAATGGACATTACAAGGCAGTGCACCTGCCTCAGTCTTTTCCTTAATGGTGGCCAGATCTTAGGCACTTGGGGACACCTACTTCGACAAAAAAAAAAAAAAAAAAAAAAAAAACAGGATTAGGAATTTGAAGCATGTCAGAGGCTACATTGTAAAAATAGTACTTTCTATTTTTTATTTTTTAAATTTAATTTTATTATAAAGATGCTGTACAACGGGGTTATATTTACATGAGTAAATCAATGAGTACATTTCTTGTCAAGCATTGTTATCCTTTCTCTTATTGTTCTCCCACTATCCCTTCCTAGTTTGTATTATTTATCTTTTTATCCTCATGCTTGTTCAGCTTCCTTGCTTGTCTGGTCCTCTATAAAATGAGCCACACTTTCAGTCCACCTTCTTGAATGTTAGTTGGGATTTGATCATGATCCTTGAGATCTCCATACTCCTGTATGGTTAGGAATATATTCATGAGATACTGATATCTGACAAATGTTTTCATGATTATATTTTGATTCTATGAGCTCATGACATAACTTCTACTGATTCTTCATTTTGCCTCAATCCAAGTTTCCATATTGGATAATTACAGTATTAATCGTTGGGACAACCATAACAACATTTCACAATTTTAGTGTTTAGAGTAGCAGATAGAAATTGTTTTGTCATATATTTGATTGCTGGAAGGGGAAATAATGTGTCTGTGTAGCTCTGACAAAGCATCCTGTTCTTCAGCAGGTTTTGATGAAGGTCCAGTGAAATTTCAGCCATTGCATTGAGAAAAATACAGTGGATTTACTCTTGTGTTTTAATCTGGGAAATTTACATTTCAAATATGGACTCCTTGGTGTGGGTGCTCTACATATAGCCTGGGATGAGATGAAGTAAGGTTCTCACTAAGAGCTATAAACCTTGACAGGATCACATTTTGCTCATCAGAAAATTAGTCATTGTTCCATTGTACATAGACAAATAGAAAGAAATATGTGATTTAATGCCCAATTATCATGGAGAAATAATGTAGGTTTACTAATTAGATTTTAAAATAATTCCGTGAAGTTTTATATTCACATATTTAGGTGTAAACATCTCTGCTGTTATCCAATTTATTTTCTTTTGGTTGGTTGTGGGGCCTGAACTTTGGGCCTGGGCACTGTCCCTCAGTTCTTCAGCTCATGGCTAGTCCTCTACCACTTGAGCCACAGCTCCACTTCTGTTTTTTTCTGCTTATGTGGTGCTGAGGAATTGAACCCAGGGCCTCACGCATGCAAGGCAAGCACACTACCACTGAGCCACCTTCCCAGACCTCCAATTTATTTTTTAAATGTTATGAGCTCATTGACTGTAAGAAAGGCCGTTTTTTTCCTGTGTCCATTTTTTTCAGCCATGATCACTCTGATTAGTTTATTAGATCCAATAACTATTATTTTTGGTAAATTCTATTTTATTGTAAAAATGCTGTACCTAAGGGTTACATTTACATGAGGAAGCCAGTGAGAACATTTCCTGTCAAGCATTGTTACACTTTCCCTAGTTATTCTCCTTCCATCCCTTTCCTCCCCCACCACCCTCACCCCTTCACCCTCCCCTTTACCCCTCCACCCCCGCCTTCCCTGAAGTTATAAAGTTCATATCCAATATACTCTCTTGTGGATATGTTGCAGTGTGTCATCCTATGTCTTTGTTTCACAGTTTTGTTAATCCTCTTCCCCTCCCCAATTAGACAAATGTATATACAAGATGCAGGGTATCAAAATCAAGTACAGTAACAACAGGGGATATACCGTAGGGGGAAGAACATACAGAGGAAACAAAATAATCACATAGTACATTAAAAATAACAACAATAAAGAAAGACCTCTTGTGTCCATATCTTGGGGTTCATTTCACTTAGCATCATGTTATATGGTCATATGTACATACCTTTTGAGCTTTTTCTGCTCATCTGATAAAATTGTCCTATACATACACTAGTTATTGTAAATGAAGGAAACGATGGGACTTTTATTTCCTTGGGTCTGGCTTACTCCACCTTAGGTCTCTGGGACTGTCTTTTTTTCCAGTCCTGTACTTGAACTCAGGGCCTGGATGCTATCCCTGAGGCTCTTTGTGCTCAAGGTTAGTGCTCTACCACTTGAGTCACAGCACCACTTCTGGCTTTTTCTGTGTATGTGGTACTGAGGAATTGAACCGAGGAATTCATGCATACTAGGCAAGCACTCTACCACTAAGCCACATTCCCAGCCCAGGACTGACTGTCTTATTTCACAATTAGTCGGGTGATTCTTACTCCATCCTCATATCCACTTCTCTTCCACCTGCAACTGAGAGCTATTCCTCTAACTGTTCTTCTCTCAAACCCATGTCAGAGGAATGATAATCAGGAGACCTTGTCTGCACCAGGAGTGCATGTTTACCATAAACCAGGTCCAGCATCAAAGCTCTATTCATTATGTGGAGGGGGAAGAGGAAAACAAGAATTTATTTCTATACTCTGCTTTGCTCCAATAGTGTGTGAAATACTTCAGTTAACAGGGTTGCTATAGGAACCTGTCATGTAGGGCCTGGTACAGATGGACTCTGACTTTGGCAGTGCCTGGTCTGTGAGCTACTGGCCTTTGGGGGAGCATTGCTATCTTTGTCCACCTGCAGCAACAGCTTGGAGTCACAATAAGATGGTGTATTCATTGTTAAGCAAATGTCCTGTCCGTGTCTTTTCACTTGTGACATCCAGCACTAGGGTGAAGAGCTTCCTCACATGCTGGACTCCAGGTGGGAGCCTTCCTCATTGTACTCTGGATTTATCACCTGTGGCATTTTCCCTTGTCTTCTCTGGGCTTTGCATCTCTGGTGTCCCTCTTCACACTTCACTATGCTACATGTCATCCTTTCAGAGCTTGCTTATATCATAAACTCTAAATTCAATCACTGAAAACTTCATTAATTACAATACCCTGGTATGTTTTTTTGTATCTGGGACATCATGTCTTGACTGAGATACTGAAATATGGCATGTTGGTACAGCTGTGCTGGCCCCTTCCAACCCCTACTTATTTGCATGTGCCCAGAACACAGCCCACTACCCTGAACAGTTCTTGAAAGCTGCTCACATCCTGTGCAGGAGTCAGTCCTAGTCAGCACACAGCATGGACATGAAGGCCCCTGCTCATTTCCTGGGGTTCCTGCTGCTCTGGATTACAGGTAAGGAAAGACTACGTTGAGGATCTCCTCAGTTTGCTGTAGTCAGTGATGCTTGGCTGTTTATGAAGCTTTCTTATAATATGCTTGATTCTATGTATATTTATTACTTTTCCAATGCCAGGTACCAGATGTGACATCCAGATGACTCAGTCTCCATCCACTTTGTCTGCATCTCCTGGAGACAGAGTTTCCATCACTTGCCGGGCCAGTCAGGGCATTAGCAATGCCTTAAACTGGTACCAGCAGAAACCAGGGGGAGCTCCAAAGCTCCTGATCTATGATGCAAAGTATTTACAATCCGGCATCCCCTCCAGATTTAGTGGCAGTGGATCTGGGACAGAGTACACTCTCACCATCAGTAGCCTGCAGCCTGAAGACATTGCTAATTATTACTGTCAACAGTATTATAATAACCCACCCACAGTGATACAAGCCATAACATAAACCTCCAGGAAGCAGAAGTGTGAGGCTGGGCTGTCCCAGCTGCTTTCTTCATGCTTCCTCTTGCCAGAGCTGTCCTAGAATCATAGGACAGGAATCCTGCCCAGGCTAACCTGGACCAGTGAGCTTCTATATCTCAATCTTTGGAATAAGTGTAATTATAGATGTGCAAAACTGGCACTGTGCTAAATGTTGAAATATTAATATTACATTCCAGACTATAAACATGGAAATACTCTGACTTTATCCAGGTTATTTTATTCTTGAATAGATATTCACAATGTGCACAAAGACACTTCGAATTTATTTCAAAACTTTTATTTTGAGAATTTTCAATACTTTATGCATGAATTTCATCAGCAAGTAAAGACAGTTTGCCACTTCCTTTTTCTGCTTCAGGTCTTTTGTGCTTTTTTTCCAATTAGTTTTAGCTTTTCTTATTGTATTTGGAGAGCCTCAGTACAATTTTAGGTACTGAAAGTAATAGTGAACATTTCATAGTTTAATGCAGCTTGAGTGGTAAAATGCTAAATAACCATATCAATGAGTACAAAGTTTGTTGCAGAGTTTGCCTACTTATTAAAACAGGTATTTTCCATTATTCCTGACCTGCTGATATGTAATGGATAGCTGTTGATGCTATTAGAAATATTGTTTCACATAAATGTAGACAGTTATAGTTTTTCTCTTTAACTCAAGCAGAATGATGAAATGCAGAGATCAGTTATCTAATTTTAAAAGAGATTTCTACTTGTGGAACATATTCGACTTGATCAACAAACATTGCCTGAGAAAAATAAGGAATGCGAGAGAGAGAGAGAGAGAAAAGCAAAGTAGGAGATGGAGATGAATGGAAGGAGAGAAGGGGGGGGGGGTGAAAGGAGGATAAATTTAGTTTATTTCTATTTTCTAAATCACAGTTCCACTTATCAACCAAGCTGAAATTATCAAGAGAAACACTGAATACAAACAACACTGTTGCCATTCTGTGCTCTCCCCTGCAAGGTTCACTGAAGGTGAGATGTTTCTTGAGCTTAGTCCCTCTGTCCTCCAGACCAGTTCCCATCAAGAATCACAGCAGTGTTCCTAGCTCACTGAATCTTCTCTGTTTTAATCTCAAGAATCAAGGAATCTTTGACAGTCAGAGGAACAACACTGACGTCTTTTATTTATAAAAAGAAAAATGGAGAAACCTCAAGATAAAGCAGATCTTCCTTAAGTCAGAAGCCCTCTGATTCTCAGATTGACAAGTGAACATATGCATACAATTTATGTATCATATTTATGTATATATACCTAATGTATGAGATACAGTATATAATAATTAAATATATATTATATAAAATATATTATGTGTTATTTTGTATATATGATGTATTATTAGATATTAGTCTATGATTTTTCTGATTTTCCCTATGTTATTGTTTTCACATTTTTTGTAAAGTTGATATGTACAGGGGTTACAATTACAAATGTAAGGTAATGAATAGATTTCTTTTTGAATAGTGTTCCCCTCTCCCTCACTATCTCCAATGTCTACCTTGCCAACTACTCCCCAAGCCCAAGTTGTAAAGTTCATTTCCAATATATTGTCTAATAAGTATTATTGTCACATTGTTTTGTTATTATATGTTATGTCATTTATGTATCTTCTTAAGATTTAACAAATTTTTTAAACAATGTATAGGTGAACTCTTCTATTTTACAAAATATTGTCCTACTGATTATAACTTTACCTGGAAATATATCCAACTAATCATAAGGAATAACTTGAGGGAAAAACTCACTCTGAAAGAGTTTCTATGGTAGGTATTGAAGTTTTAACTAAATATCATTAGTTAAGTATTAGGGAAAAGGTATACAAAAAGGTGAATTAACAGCAAGTTAACCCTGCTTTCACTATATTTGATGTCAGTATAACTTGTAGAGGAGATGGGGAAAAACAAGTCAATTAAGGATACAGGTGGCCCTGTTACAACAATGAGAAGTACAAGTTGGCATGTCGAAAACGAGGTTTACAATGTTGTGGGGGGGGTGGGGGGGTAGTGGGGGAAGGCGGGGAGGATTGGGTGGGGGGGGAGGCTGGGAAGGGATGTGAAGGGTAAACAAAGGAGGAGGCTGCAATGCTTGATAAGAAATGTATGCATTAACCTGCCCATGTAATTGTAACCCCTCTGTACAGTGTGTTCACAAAAAAAAAGAGCAAGTTAAAATGACAAATTTAGGGCATCTCTCTTTTATAGGCAATGTTTTAACAGTGGATGTAGGAGGAAATGTGTTGAGGAGTTGGAGATGTACTTCAGGGGTTTGTTGCCATTGAAGAAAATACTAAGGATTATGAAATATATGATCCTATGAGTGAAAATAGCCAAGGGAAAAATTGGTCCATGGATGGGAGAAGTTAAAATCCCAGAGAAAGATACAGAAAAGTGTTCAACACTACTGTAACAGTTACACAAATGAGGATGCTGAAGCAGAGAATTAAGGAACTTAACAGCTGCCACACTCCATAAAGCATGCAAGGCCGGGGACACCAGGGCACATTGTTTGACCTCAGGCTCACAGAATAGCAGCTGGATTGTGTCTATGGATGTGCATTTTACCTTGAGTCTTCAGAGACATACATGGAATAGAGTGGCACAGATCAAAATGCTTTCTTGAGACACATCTTGCAGATGGAAAAGGACAGGTTAATTTTTATTGGGGAACTAGAGGACAGACAGGGAGGACATTCAGAGCCAGAGAACTTAAGCCAAAGTAAGGAGAGGATCACACTGTCCGTCAAGACATGCATGGTTGAAGACCAGCCATCCAATGAGCACAACTTGAAGGAGCAGGAAAAACCTAAGGTGGGTTTAGGTAGACCTGATTTTCTTTTTCTTTTTCTTTTTTTTTAGTATTCCACAATCTTTATTTTTTAATTGTGAACATACTGTACAGAGCGGTTACAACTACATAGGCAAGATAATGAGTATATTTCTTATCAACCATTGTAGCCTCCTCCTTTGTTTACCCTTCCCATCCCTTTCCCAGCCTCCCCCACCCCCCACCAAAGTTGTAAAGTTCGTTTTCGACATGACAACTTGTACTTCTCATTGCTGCATCTGGTCCACCTTATTTAAACAACTTGTTTTTCCTCTTCCCCTCCACAAATTATACCGAAATCAAATACAGTGATAACAGTGGTTATACTGTGGGGGAGGGACATACAAAGCAACAAAGAAATAACCTTATAAATGTGTTAGAAACAATCCATGAAAGAAATAAAAACATTTGAATACGTATCTTAGGGTTCCTTTCCCTAATATCACCTTATCTGACCTTTTCGCCTTGACTCATACATATACTAGATATTGCAAATAAGGGAAACCATGGGACCTATGTTTCTTTGGGCTTGGTTTACTTCACTTAATAAAACTTTTTCCAAGTCTTAACATTTCCTAACAAATGGGGCAATGTCATTCTTTCTGATGGAGGCATAGAATTCCATTGTGTATATATACCACATTTTCTTGATCCATTCATCTACTGAGGAGCATCTGGGTTGGTTCTGTATCTTAGGTATGGTAAATAATGCTTTATTCAACACATGTGCTAGTAGCATTAGTATTGTGTACACAAGAGATCTTTATGTTCATGATTCCTACCTGAGGCTCAGGGCATAACAGTCTTATTACACAAATTGTGAAGTGGTTGATCTCCACTCTCATATCCACTCTTCTTTCCTCCTGAATCATAGCCATTCCTAAAATGTCTTGGTCTCAAAGCCAGGTGTGGGGGGACGTTATATGTACCAGGAGTGTATCAAAAGACAGGTCCACCTTCAAAGTTCTACTCATTAAATGCTGGTAAATAGAAAGGCATGAGTTTTACAGTTTCATTATAGCTTCCTTTGGCTTCAGAAGTGTGATATTTCAGGTCACAGATACATCATAACAAGGGTCGAAGTTGGTGAATCTCTCAAATCCAGATCCACATGCAGTTCATTTAGTAAAGGATGATGAAGAGAACTCTGACTTTGGCAGGGACTGTCCCTGTGTGTGAGTTTCTGACTGTGAGGAGCAGTGTTATTTTGTGTGCCTGCAGCAGCTGCTTGGACTCACAATGATGAGAGGTTGATTCACTGACATGTAAATGTCCTGCTAGTGGCTCCCCAGATGTGACATCCTGCACTAGGGTGGACAGTGTCCCCACATGCTGGTCCTGATGTGGGAGCCTTCCTTACTGTGCTCTGCCTTCACTGTCTGTGGCAGTTTTTCCTTGCTTCCCATGCTAAGGATGTCTTCTCCATTCCTTGTGGCTTCATTGCCTTGCTCACCCTTTACTGTGTTTCATTTCATCAAATCTGAACCTGCTGGCACCACAAGTTCTAGCCCAGTTACTCAAAAATGTTATTCTGAACTGGAAGAGACGATAGTGTAAGAACATGAAGGTTTATGAAGCAGAAGAGACTGAAGTAGATGTGAGTTCTTGGTTTAGGGAACATCTTATTTTGAGGGGGGTCTTTTGAGGCTATTGATAGGAGACAGGAATGTTACCTGAGAGATTTGGAGACTGCTAGCTCAGAAATTCATGAAGATCACCAAGCTACATATATAGCCATGTCTTTTAAATCTTTTCAACCCAGCTGATTTTCATGTGCCCTGAGCACAGCCCACTGCCCTGAGAACTTCTTCATAGGCTGCTCACACCCTATCAGGAGAAGGTTCCATTCAGCTAAAAGCTTGGACATAATGGCTTCTGATCAGCTGCTGGTTCTCCTGCTGATCTGGCTCCCAGGTAAGGAAGAACAATGTTGGGGATTACTCTTCTCATATTAATAGAGCAGCTTGTGGCTTCTTGGAAGTACTTGGATAATATCATTAATTAAATGACTAATTGTTTTAATGTTTCCAATTTCAGTTGCCCATTGTGATGTCCAGTTGGCTCAGTGGCCATCCCTGACTGCATCTCTGGGAGAGAGAGTCAACATCACTTCCAAAGCCAGTCAGGTCATTAGCAATTATTTACATTCTTACCAGCCAAGAGCAAGGAAAACTCCAAAGCTCCTGATTTATTTTGCACCTACTTGGCAATCTGGGGTCCCATGGAGGTTCAATGGAAGTGGAGCTGTCACAGAGTTCACTCTCAGCATGAGCAGCCTGCAGCCTGAAGATTTTGCCACTTACTACTGTCAGCAAGGTAATTACTTATCTATCCCTGTGACACCAGTCATAACGAAATCCTCCCAGGGAAGCAGAAGTGAGAGGCTGGGCTGCCCCAGATGCTTACCCTGGTGCTTCAACTGCTGACAGAACATCTCAGATGCAGCCCCCTTTTTAAGGTCACTGGAAAGCATTGGGAGATAGGTTCTGGAGTCAATTGCATACCTTAACTGTCTGTCCTCCTGCTCACCCCAAGCAGCACACACCTGCCACTGCTTTTTCTGTGGCTTACAAAGAACACTGCTCTGTACTCATGTATGGTCCAGTCTGTCCTAAAATTCTGCAGTCAGTCAATAACGAAGCCATTCTAGATATGTCAGGGTAAGTTTTTAAAGGCAAGGAAAAATACCTTGTGAAAACATTTTAAAAACAATTTTTTGAAGAAAAATTTTCGTTAAAATTTATTTGAAATCAATTTTAGATTACCATGGAATAATTTTATTTGAAGTAGAATATGATGTTTGCTAAATAATGAAATAAACATGTGAGTTTAGTAATTTAAACATTTATCAATTTCTTGTCAGGGAATTTTTTTCAGCAAATGTATTTTTAAATACTCATTTCAACTTTCAGGTTAAAATATCCATCATTTTAATCTAGTTCTCAGAAAATTATTTTATTTTGATACCGAGTAACATATTATTGTTTTACACTACTGTTGTCCAAACCATAGAAAGTAGAGTGGAAAAATAAGTTTTTAAATAACTTCAGGAAATATCAAGAAAAAATTAACTAAAACTTTGTATCATGTTTTGGAAGGTTTGAACATGTTTTGGAAGGTCTGAACATTTTTTTTTTCTGGAGCTTGACCTTAGAGCAGATATTCAAAGCACCCTTGGCTTCTGGCCTAGTTCAAATAAATCCAAACTGTAGAATGGAAATAAATATATGTGAATAAATCAAATACATTTAAGACACTTGTGGGAAGTGGCGCTGTAGCTCAAGTGGTAGGGCGCAAGCCATGATCTGAAGAGCTGACTGACAGCGCTAAGACCCAGAGTTCAAGGCCCACAACCGACACAAAAAAAAAAAAAAAAAAAGAATTAAGACACTTGTGGAGTCATGCACTAGGTACAGTTACACACATATTATATCTATATTTATCAGAGTAATCAGAAGTGACTTCCATATATCATAGAGACATAATTAGAGTCATAAATTCACATTTAGTAATTAACATGTATTCTTACACATGGAAATTTATATGGAAGAACAGAGCTGGATTGGGAGGGATGGTTCAGAATGATGGTTCAGAATGATAGGTAAAGATGAATTGTGTTTATAACCTTGCATGTTTAATGGACATCATTTTGTACAGCTACTGATTGATATTAAACATAGAATTTAAGACAATTGATGTGTATGGAGTTCTCACTTGTCCACACTCTCACCTCTGTCCATGTTCCTTGCATATTGTGGATCGATAGGATTGAGTTCCTTCCACCTTCCAATCTTATAAGTGATTATAAGATGTCCCATCTCATTCAGAATATAAACAGGAAAGCAGAGAGGGAGAGGAGTGCTGGGAAATGTATTTCCTGAAGAGACTATGCTGATGGGAGCCCACAGCTGATGACCAGTGAAGTCACCGCCCAACTCTCAGACTATATCATTGAGGGCATTGTCCAAGACCAGGTACACACATGCCTCTTCCTACTAGCAACTTGTAACCATAGCAAGAGTTTCAGGAAGTCTCAGTTCATGGAAAATGAGATATTATCATGAAATATGTGAGGGACCATTCTCAAATAGAAACATTTCTTGACAAAAAGGAAGCAAACAAAACTAAACATGTATGTAGTATTATTTTCTTTCCTACTCAGAATGTGTCCAGAATTCAGGATCATCAAAAGCATCCCTGAAAGCATGTTATGAATACAATATCACAAAACCACTTCACATCTACTGAGTGTGAATCTGACTTTCAGCAAGTTAACAAGTAATCTCTGTAATGTTTGGGAAGTCATATTCATAAGAAGAAGAGTATCACCCGTAGAGAGATGCTTTTTACTCCTCAATTACCCTATTAAGAGCACTTCTATTTAAACCACATTTGTCTCTCTCACACAAACATGTGTTTGGACACACACACACACACACACACAAACATGACACACCTGTGTCAGTCATTTTCTATAACAAAGTAACTGACCTAAAATCTGAATAAAGAAGAGTTGGTTTACCTCAGTTTTAGATGCAGAAAATCCCCAATGCCGAATCTTCATCTGTCTTTCTCTGGTGAGGCCTGTCTTGCACATGGTACAATATGTTGTGTTAATAAAGAGAGAACCAGTTGTAATTTGAGGTGGCCAAGCCTATGGTTGTCTTCATTTGATAGCAGGTAACTATTATGAGAACTGCTTCACTGCATGAGAGTATCTTTTACCCTCTGGTGAGCAGTGGTATAACCTCCAATCCCATAATACAATCACTTCCCACAAGTCACCTTTTCCATTGGCCAGGTTCATCCATTGGGGCATCAGTACAAACATCCTGCATGTGCGCTTCCTTCCTTCAGGTGAAGTAGAGACTGAAATCTCTGAGACAAATAAACAGAGACTGGTTAAATTGGATTGGGACTGGAGACATTTGGAGATTTTATGTTAATTTAAGATAATCAAAATTATATGTATATATATATGTATATATACACACACACACACACACACACACACATCTATATCATTTCAACTAGTTACACAAAATGGACTCACCTCTGTATGTCAACTGATAAGTACACTATATTTTGATCCTTTCACCCTAGCAGTACTCTCCAGAGGAAACTTTAACAAATCCTTTGATTAATTTGCTGTACAAATACATTGTGGAAGAATGATAAGATATTTAGTGAATTTACAAAACTGTTACATTGAATTCATACTTTCAAGTGCAATAATTTCTCTCATTAGGTTAAAAGACCATTAGGGTACTTACTACCTGTAAGAGAAAATTTTGTCATCCTTGTCAATTCTATACCCTACATCTTAATATGAAGATCCTGGCAAATAGAGGTGCTAGCATCCCAAAGAAATAACTTGGTAACTATGGTATGCCTCTTCATCTAGCTCAACTCTGTGCTTTTATTGTTCAACTATTTTGAGAATCAGTGCTGCTGATGCTTGACACTGTGTCTTTCTCTAGACTAGATGAGGGAGGAATGGAGGACCCAGGCACAATGTCCATTCCTTTCCTAGAGTCTCTCCTGGACATAAAGCTGCATATCATTGGGCCTCTGATGCTGTTTTAGGGTGGTGGAGTGATGTGCACCCTGTTTTTCCTCAATTCCAGATATTATCAGTGGAGTCATTCTTTCCATGCTGCAGGCATCATGGATTTTATTGGTTGTCACCAAATAAAGAACACATCTGCTTGTACTTTTCTCAGAAGAGCAAGCCTTACCTCCCCTTGACTCTTCTCACACTGTTGCCCCAAGCTGGCTATTTGCATACCCTAAGGAGGGCCTTTCTTTCTAAGTCTGAGATAAAGGCTCAGATCAGAACTTGCCTTGACCTGCCAAAACTCCTCATTTCAGTCCTAAAAAATGAAGACCTTGTCTCAGCTCCTGTGGCTGTTAATGCTCTGTATCCCTGGTAACAGCAAAGGAGGATGAGAAATGAGAGTGGGTGGCAGGGTGAGATCTGAGATTCCAGTTGTGCCCTATCCATGTGTTAGATGTGCAGGTCTTGTTAATCATGATGGGGTACGTGAGGATTAGGTCTGCAGAAGGAGTGAAAAACCTATGTTTTGTGAGAAAAATGTATTATGCCTAGAGACCTATTTATGCTTAAAATTGCCTCTCTTTTTTCACGTTAATGAGCATGGAAGATAGAGAGATGCCTTTTCCTTCTTAATTAAATCATTTAAGATCATTTCTACTCAAATACCCCATTTCTCTCTCCCCCGCATATAATCTGTACTAGTTCATTAGTAAAACAAATTTCTTGTCACAAGCTATGAATAAAGAGTTTTAACTCACAATTTTAGATCCAAAATGTTTTTACATTATAAGTCAAATCATGTAATATTAATTATAGGTGATACATAAAAATAAAAATAAAAAGCATGTCTCTGTATGTTGTGTATAACTTTGAACTTCTATCTTATTCTAATTTCAGAATCAAGCGAAGATGTTGTGATGACCCAGACTCCACTCTCCCTGCCTGTCACCCTAGGAGAGCCGGCCTCCATCTCCTGAAGGTCTAGTCAGAACTTTCTATATAGCAATGGAAACACATATTTGAAATGGTTCCTGCAGAAGCGAGTGAAGTCTCCACAACTCCTGATCTAAGAGGTTTCCAACAGAGAATCTGGGATCTCAGAAAGATTCAGTGTCAGTGGGTCAGGCACAGATTGCACATTGAAAGTTAGCACTGTGAAGGCTGAGGCTGTTGGGGTGTATTACTGCTGTCAAGCTACACATGATCCTCCCACAGTGATACATCCCTGAACTAGAACCTCTCCTCTGGCTGGGTGAGCAGCCCTCATGTGTTGCTTGTCTGGGAAGCAGCGGAGAGGATTGTCTGAATGAGCTGATGAGGAAGACATTGTGATCAATGTGACTGGGTGGACATGAAGAGTATTTGATAATTGGATGACTTGCAAACTACAAAGAGCAGGAGAAAATCATGAAAGCATAAAGACCAGAGACTTTAGGTAAACAATGAAGTATCTATGTAAAAAATATATTTGTCTCTTAAGTTGTACTATAGACAATCAGTGATATAAGCATCAAGTATCTTCTATGATTTTATTCCCTTCATAAGGAAACTTATAAAACTTCCATCATGAGCATGGTTTTGGCCCATACATACAGTCTATGTTATGTTTTCTGTTCAGAAGCTGGAAGCCCAGTTGTACTTTGTCTAGCATCTTCTCTGTTTGTCCCAAACCCTGAATGAATATCAAGCCCTTCACAGAGTTCTTTCACTGGTTCCTGATTGAATCAAGCTTGGGTTGATACAGTACTGGAATCTCCACAGTGGTCTCTGTTCTGGGGCTCGCTCTACTTAAGAGAGTGGAGTGTGATGAAGTCCTGTAATAGTGTTCATAGGTCACAGAAGTCTGAGTCTGAGCCCTTGTTCAATGGGCATAGAATCAAGATCCATTTCTGGTCAGATTGTATGATTTTTTTTCTTGAAAAATTATTGTATAGGGGTGTCTTTCATATTTAATTCTGTCTTATATCTGTGTCTAGATTCTATTGACATGTTATAGGTCTCAAGCATTGTGTCTCTTTTAGTGTCTCTAAGACAGAATATCTCCATCATTTGATGGGCAGAAACAATCCTAGAAGAGTCTGAATTTTTCTCACATGCTATGTCAACCTGGATGCAATACATCCTCCAGCTGGGTTCAGACCTGTGGGATAGACCTTTGATTTTCAAGTACCAGCATGGTTGTTCTAGTAATAAGGCTTGTGATCATGATCCCGAACTATGCTGTCAGCCCATCAATGTAAGTGTAAGAGGATCGGACACATGCATCCATGGGACCAGGCAGAGGCAAGGAAGCATAGGAGAAAGAATATTGTAAGGTTTATTAGAGAAGTCGTATTTCCCCCAAATGGTAGCACATGGCCTCCATCACCATCCAGATAGCAAGAGGGTGTGAGGGATAGGAAGTGAGGTAAATGGGAGTTCAGGTGGGTCTGGGCAGAGAGAGGGAGGAGCCAAAGTATGGAGGGAACTCCAGGATGGGAGGAGGGCCCAGTTCTGGTTGGAGCTGAGGAACAAAGGTGAGCATAACACTAACACTAACTACACAGAAGTATATTAAAACTCAATTTTTAGTCCTTCAGGGACCATAGGTACATTCCCAATGTTGATGAGGGAGGTGCTGAGTGCATTTGGTTTACTTGTCATTTGAGATACATTTCTTTCCTTTGTAACAAAAAAAAAACTCTGAGCATCTTCTGTGAGAAAAAAAAAGTGAGATTGCAATATGGTGTCAGAATGCAAATGTGGATTGAGGGAGAAACAGCCCCTGGGTCCACAAAGCCTACATATCCTCATGTGACCAACATGGGAATATAGTCAACACAAGCATTGCTGCAAGCCACAAGGCCAGGCTTCTGGTTCCTGTAGGCAGGGCTGTGAGCCTCCTGTGGCTAGAGTGACAGGAGAAGCTGTCTTCTTTGTAGGTCATAGCCTGAAAGTTGAGCCACAGGTATGAGGGACCCTCCAGAGGCTCTATCAGCAGTGGCATTATTGAAACTGGTAGTAGTTTGTTGCTTGAGGATTCCCAATAGTTTGTAATTCAGTATTCCAGAATGTAACATTTTCTGATTCCCAATAGTTTGTAATTCAGTATTCTAGAATGTAACATTTTCTGATTCGCAATAGGTTGTAATTCAGTATTCCAGAATGTAACATGTTCAGATTCCCAATAGTTTGTAATTCAGTATTCCAGAATGTAATATTTTCTGCTTCTTAGACTTTGATATTTGAAACCAAAATAATAACTAGTCCACCAGATAGTATCAACAATGTTTGTTTGTTGTTTCTATCATATTCTGACACTAGATTTGTAAGAGGAGGCCAATATGAACAACCTTCCAGGCCTTCACACTGAAGTCAAACAAGAACAGGGGAGACTAATTCCTCCATCTGCAGTCACATAGTACAAATAGAGAAAAAAGGACAATTTTCCTTCAGTGAACCAGTTTTTTGTTATTCAGTGAAATTCATGTTTTCTTCTTACTCATGTTGTTCTCTGTTCTGTTGAAAACTAGCAGAGACCTGGTCTCTCTGGGTGTAGCTTAGTCCCCTCTGTTTACTTCACACTCTTGTATTTGTGTGTTTATTCACCCCCTTGATAGGTTAACAATAGGGTGGTATTATGGGAAGTGTGAAAAGCATGGGGAGGGACTTGGAGGAAATACATCTCTTGTGGGCAAGTCCTTGGGGCTATATCTTGCCCTTACCACTTCCTGTGTTTTTTTTTTTTTCCCCCCTTTGGATTCTAATGTGCCTTGAGTTGAGCAGCCTCTGCTAGATGGTCCCACCACCTGATCTTGGGCCTCACCACAGGCCAAGGAAGCCGAGGATTGTCTAGTGAAACTTTCCTTCCCTGTTGTTCTTGTCATGTACTTGGTTTTACACATGTTATGGGTTAAAGAGTCCACGATTCAGATACAGCCTCATGTAAATATATGACTTCATTGGGGAAGTGGATTGCTGACCTGCCAGGGAGGTAGCACAGACTTGGCAACTGATACTGCCACCCTGAATGGCCCACAAGCTAGGGTTCTTAAAGGCAAAATTCATGTGGTCAATCCTGCCTAGACACAGGTGGCCAACGATATTGTAGCGCACACACAAAGATTGTGTTTTTATGTCAGTGGCCAATGGGGTTACAGTCTGTCTCATAGTATCTGTTTGAACTAACCTATCATTCTGGTTTGAATTGGCACACAAATTTTGGGGTCCCCACACAAAGCAGGTGGATATTCTCACTCATGGGAGGAGACATAAGGCTGCTCCTTTCTGGAAGAGCAAAGGTGGCTGGGTTGTTTTACTGTTGATAACCAAACAGGGCTGCAGATCCTGTCTGGACTATTGAGATCCTGTCTGGGCTATTGATAAGCAAACAGGGCTACACATCACACAACCTGATCACAATAATCATAAGGGCTTTCCAGTTTCCACATTTCCTTGGGTCTCAATTAGCAGCATATTTACTGACCCTGGGGGCTTGTAAGAATCCAGTATTTTGATTCTCAGGGGTGTGGGGGTAACTCCTGGTATATTAAAAATGGAGTTAGTTTTGGCTCACCCCAACAACACACACAAAATTTATGAACACACCCATACCTACTGCATAGCAATCTGTACTTTAAGCAGGTAACAAGGATCAATACAAGGTTTTAGAAACTAGGCTTTAGGAGAGATCTATTTTTGCTAAGGATATCTTCACTTGGCAAAATTACTTAGACACACACAAATATTTATCAATTATAAGGTCTCAGCCTGAGAATAATAATGATATGTCAAGATTAAATATGACTCAAAATATTGTCGATAATACTCATAATTTGGAGAAGTAAAGAAGTGGATTCAAGATGAGGTTATACTGGCCAATTGTTATCAAGAAGCTATCTCCAAAGAAATCTAGGCATTAGGGTATTCTCCTATAGTCATGGTTACCAAGGAGGTACAGATAATGTGGTACATGGCCTTGTCTGTATCTCCTAAACAAAACTAAAATGAAAAAGTTTAGGAGTAGTGCTCATTTTAGAGGACTTGCTTAGCAAGCTCAAAGCAGTGTTGAATGTTCAGAATACAAACCCTTTAAAAATGTGTTTCTTTGTTGGATATTTTGTGACCGGAATTTCTCTATGTACCTTGACCTCTAGAGGTTGTTCATGATCTCTATAATTCTCTGCCTCTTTAGTCACTGTGGAAAATCAAACATAATCCAATTTAAAGGCCAGCTGAGTGATCTGCAGCACAACAGTTAAAGGAGCTCCAGCAAGATCATCACCTACTCAAAGCATGATTTACTGATATACATAACTGTTAGTAGTTGTGTACCAGTGGTTCATTGCATACTATTGTTGAAAAAACCAATTGTATAACTATGGATATGTAAAAAACAATGGAGAAAAGGAAAAATAAAAAATATGCAAAATATATTAATATATAGAATATATTATAATTCACTTGTAGAAACATGTAAGGAACAATTAGCGTTTACTTTATCCATATTACAGTAATATATGATGTAATATACAATACTATATAGCAATGCATAAGTAGAGAAATAAAATGATATTTTAATAGGTAGTACAGATTTAACAAATATGAGTAATTCACAGTTAACAAACAGGCATACATATACATATATAGATGTGTATATATGTACATATAAATGTTCAAATGTAGCTGGATAAACATGCAGCTACAATACACACACAGAGAAATTATCAGGGATCCAATGAAACATAGTTTATCCTTTGCAGAGACTGTCTTAAAGAAAGATATGTATGAACACACAGCATGTAGACTTTAGAGGAAACCATGTATATATGGCTCAATATTCTTCTTTCTATACTCACTATTTTCTTTGAAAGGTTTAAGGAAACAGAAAAATTCTGATGAAATTTTATGATGGTTCTCTAGGTTGGATTGCTTGGAGATGAAAAAATATACTTCTGGACCTGGCTGTGCGAGATTCTCTAGAGAGAATTTCCTAAGAGAGAAGGCCCACCTTATTATACACAGCCCCTTACAAAAGGCTAGGATCTCATCAAATGAAAAGGGAAGCAAGATATAGCCACCAGGTAGAACATTTCCTCTGTTTCTTGGGTGCCATGTTGTGATCTTCACCAAACTGCCCACATGGTAGACTAGACTTTATGATCTAAGAGTTGCAATCAAGTACTCTGCCCTTTATATTGTTTTTACTGAGGTCTTAGCCACAATAAGGGAAAGCTAAGTAACACATCTTCCTAACTTAGGCCCTAGCTTACTTTCTAACCAATGATGGAAGATGAATTAGGCACCAGAAGCATTTGGGGTCCCAAGCACTGACTTGAGAGAAATGGCTATTAGTTGTAGTGGTAACAATATGTTGAGGTAGATTTTTTTAAGTCAGAGTTTAAATGTGGGAATGTATGTATTAGTGAAGCAAGTCATTAAAAATGAATCAGTTCATGAACACATGGATTGGATTTATCCTCAGGAGTGTGAAATGTGGATGTAAACAGCACAAGAGGAGCTGCAGGCCAGGAGGTGGATTCTGAGCACTCATGACTGGGTTCTATAATCTCAGAGCAGGAGGAAAGGGACAGCTCTTCTCTGCAAGAG